CAGAAAGCGCTGTTCGTCAGGATTGCTTGCTATCTCTTCCATTTCAATTCAACTTTATTATAAATTTTAATATCGAAGCAGCCCTACCCTCCTGAGCGGATAGTAACTTCGAGTTACTTCTGGGTGGTAGACTGTCTGATCTGGAGTGTGCAGAACACACTGTGAAGATCCAGATAAGTATTAGGCTTTTCCGAAAGGTTTGAGTACTAATGTAGCTATGCTTGGTATGCGTTTTGCATCTTCATAGTGCAGAGTGAACATACAAACATAAATTATCCTCGATAGAAATCGTAGCCAAAAGAAAATGAAAAAAAACGGTCTGATCAGCTGCCCAGAGGCCGAGTGAGTAGCACGCTTGCGTTCCGCCCGTGAGGTCCCGAGTTCAATTCTCAGTTGGGTTATGGATTCTCACTGCTGATGAGGACCAAACAAATTGAAACAACTGCCCAGTGCTTCTTAGATTTTCAGTTTACGCTTCATTTGCCATATACACACGAAAAATTCACCTTTTGAAATTAAATCGAATCCCCCATTACTCACATGAAAATCTAATCCTACCGCTTATATTACCATTGTCGTTGTGTTATACCATGATTATCCTCAATCCGGTGTGAAATACATAAACATATAAACAGATCAGTTTGAAAAAATGGAGGAAAATACGTATCGAAACACAGGAACAATAAAGAAACAATTAATGTTTGTTAGTTTCACTGTACACATTTCGACTTCTGTTGTTTATTATAGGGAAACACATTTAAAAAAACAATGGAATAATCGCGGCACTGACTTCTATTCCGTGACATATATCTCTCGAACGAATCTTCCGCAATTCAGAGTGTTTACCCTAACTATGAAGTTAACGAAAAATATAGAAACAAAAAGGCGGGAAACAAAATCAATCAACTTAGGAAATAACAACTATTGGGTGTTTACTGCACGTCATTTTCGGTTGTCTTTGTTTATTTTTTGGATAGTACACAGAAGAAAATACATTCACTGATTTCGGTTCGATGTCATGTTTCGCAGTCTCCCTAACCAAAGACAATCTGAATCATTGGGGTCCAAACCGGGAGCCCGGAATGAAAACCAGATCCGAGCGCAATCTATTTAACCCTCTAAGCCACGCTTTAGCCCGCCCACATCGCTGTACCTTCCCACCCGGGCAGATGTCTGCAAATAATACACGGTGTGTCAGACGTTGCCCACGTAATCGTGGGATTTGCTCCAGCTACCTATAACGATGCAGCGAAATTATTTTGCTCAATTGAAAATTAGTTGATTCTAACACACGTCGCTCGACATCGTTATTCACGCCATGCTCCAACCACAAGCAGGCGATGTTGCGGAGACACCGGTTGTCGAAGACGAATAGTCGCTGGACATGAACTTCTCGAATGGGTCATGTTTCGCAGCCACAGAGTATCACAGCACGTACTTTTGTGCAATGAAGACGCCTTTTCAGTGAAAGGGATATGTTGTGCCGGAACCCAAGATACCAAAGATTAGCAAATGCTAACCTAGCGTTGGCAGATATCACACGCACCTCCTTCAGTCGTTCCGCAGCCACCGATGTGGATAAAGCTTTCGACTACAACGAGGTTATCACTACCCAAGAAAATTACTTGAGGCAGCCAGCTATTTTAAGATCGTCTATGAATTATCCCGAACACAAATGATCAAAATAAATCTTCCTTAACCATATACGAAATTCAACAAAAATGAAAAGCGGAGAACTGATCGCATCCTTGACAGGTGTGTCTAACAGTGAGTAGTTAACAAGGTTAGAAGCAAAAATCAACGCCCACACAGAACACCTTTCTCAACCACTCAGGCAGTACAAGCCATGCATACTTGATGCATTCTCACGAGGCCCCTCACAAAAGCTAAAACCAATTACCACGAGGTTTTCTCATCGTCTTCCAGCTAGTTTAAAATGCTTTCTAACCAAAAACTAAATCCAGAGCATCACCGGGTCTGAATTGCATAAATCAGTGATGGCTCTCGAAATTTTGCGTGCTTCTTTCTTTCATTACACCAGTGTGTACTAAACAGCAGACGGGGCGGACCCCATAACCACGAAGATCTGCTGTTCAGTGACGGTAACCGGCAACCTAAGAACTGTGATTTGGAGTGGTGAACCACATAAGGCGTGGTAAAGAACTGGGCGACAGCAAAGCTGCCCACCTCCAAAGTTCGGTGGCGGTGGCCGGGTTCGAACCTCGGACCACAGAGATCCAAAACACGCCTCTGGTTTTCGAGGTCTCACATGTGAATAGACAAAGTAGTCCCTTGTTTACCCTTCCATGTCCATAAAGATGCGCTCCTTTCCAGCGCATTCGTTTCTTGGCGTGCAACGTGTGGTTAGCACATCAAGGTGAATTTTTATTCTTAAAGAAATCCGTACATCAAGTATCATAACAATGTAGTCATCGGAATCACTGATAACAAAGTGTTTATTATTGTCGGTATCAATCATTTTGATTGTTTGTGAGATTAGGTATTGCGTTTACATATGGTTATGGATACTGTCGGTTGACAGAATGAGAACCCCATTATGGATCACAACAATACAGGCGGAAGCCAATTAAACCACCTCGGCCTATGACCACAATTGTCACAATATAAAGGGATGCAATCAAGTGGTGGTAACTCGGCCGTCACAACACCCTTCTGTTAGTGTATGCAATGGTAGTTCGGCCAGTTCTGATGTGGAGTGCTCGAACTTAATAAATTACGATAGTTTGGGCAAGTGTTACGCAGGTCGCCTTATAGGTTGCCAATGTGCGCGATGTTTGTCGAGGCAGGTGTCGGGTGGGAAAAGAGGCACGCGGGATCAAAACAGGCCTGACGAGAGGATATGAAAACACTTGTCACATAGATCGTGATAATTGTAATCAATGGTTAGAGACACTCAGTGATATGGCTGAGTGTCTTAAACAGTGGAGCTCGTGCATCTTCTTAATTGCTTTGCAACCTTAGTCCCATGAAATTCTCCATTCTCTCTTCGACCCTACCTTCAAATTGCATGTCTTTCTCGTACTGTTTCATCCAAATGGGCAGCGAAAAAACGACAACCAAAGCCGGTGCACGGTTAATCGTGCAAGCTGCTTTGTTGCTCAACGAATAAAAGAAGAACAGAAAAACAGCGATGGGAAAACATAACACTCTACTTAAGGGAAAAGAATTTACTTACCCAAATTCTCTGAGACAGGTTAGAATGATAAAAAAATATATGCATTACTCACGAGAATCCCATTTGCATACAAACACCTCCTAGTGAACGCGAACTTTCAGCTAGGGAGGGAAAATGTGTAGGGGTACTTCCAGAGTGGTTGGATTGGATCACCGGGAAGCATTATCACCGCAGATTCTCTCAGTATCGTGATTCGGGTTCTCTTTGTAAAACATTTATTACAGTAAATGCGCATGATTGTTTGGATGAAGCGCTTTGAAAAACTTTTTTGTTTAGGAAGTTCTATTAGTGACATGTTAGCATGCCACTCGGACCGAAAAGCAGCATATAAGGAATTGTCTGCATATAAAGTCGTTTTCGAACCCGGACACCAAAGACTGATAATCCGTCGACCTGACCATCGGGCTATTCGGGCCCACACAATAGCCCGATATTCCAACACGGTATAATAGTATTCATCTCCCATTGTTCATGCATTAGGTCATTTGAAACGACTTAGCAATTTAGCTTGCATTCGTCATGCGCGAACAGCATATCGTCCACCCATTTTCAAACGCGAGCGACTGAGGTTAACTTAAAGGATGAACACTTCTTCACTCCATACAGTAATAGGTTATTTTTCTGATAGCCGCTCAAGCCTATTGAGATAACAAAATGGTTCGACTATATCCTCCACACACACACTTGGCTGAATACTCTTTCAACTTGAACACATTGCGACAGCCTTCTACTTGTCGGTGGATCTACCATTCTCGCATCAACTATGTCTGGTTACCCGTTTGTGCTGGGTAGGGATTCCATACCGTTGTTTCTCAGTCGCCTGGATAAAACCCGGCTAGTGCTAGTGATCTTACTCAACGCTTCTGCAAACGAATAATATATACATATGACAGGTTGGTAAACAACGATGTTGATTGTTGTTTTTGTAGCTCGGGTGGTATAATATGATGTTCAGTTGTTCGCCGAGNNNNCAAACGTTTCATCACCATTCGAGGTGACATTCTCAATGCAGTAACTGGGTTACTGCAGTTACTGCACTGAGAATGTCACCTCGATTGGTGATGAAACG